TACTTTTCCCATTGCCCTGCCCTCCATTCAACCCCTCCACCCCTCACTAACTACAAAGACTTTGTTTCCACTTTTTCTTTTTCTTGTATTCCATTCCCTTCTTTCTTTTTCCCTAGTGCTCCCACTTCCCCTTTCCCTTGCACCTTTTCTTTCTATTTCATATTTTCTATTATAGCTTTTAGTCTTTATATAGACTTTCAGTTTCTCACATTAGAGAAACACATATGTGTCACATTTATTTTAATTAAGAGTATCACCTCAATGTGCATCCATTTTCCTATGAATGACTCTAATTTCTCATTTTTTATGGCTGAGTAGTACTCCATTTTACTTTTTAAAAAACACACATCTTTATCCAGGCTCCTGTTGATGGTCAATAGAAGCACTGTTCTTAACAACTACACTGCAACCCTGTGCTCTCAAAGTTCACAAACACATAAGTATCTCTACTCACAAACTTCTTCCAGTGAGTTACTAGGATTGGGACACCAATGTTAAATGAAACTCGCCATTTTGGATTAAACAAGGATATGATAATGACTGTGACTTTAAGAGATATGGGATAGGGTAGGAAAACTATAATTAGGGGGAAAAAATAGGCCTGGTGAAAGTACAGAGTACAGAAAATCCTTACAAAGATCTGCTTACTAGTGAGACTTGATATTATTTCTACATGGTGTGCAAGAGACAAGCAAGAAATAGATGGGAAAAAATAATTACATTTTACTTCCATGCAATTTTGTAGGTGCAGCTTCCATGCAAAATGTATTATCCCTGGGTCCTCTTTATGAAGCAAATCATCCAGATGTAACACTACCATTTTGTGCTACAAATGGTGTTATCTTTTATATTGATTAGAAGTAAGCTCAAAATAAAATAAGATGGAAAGGTAGTGAAATGAGAATGGACTAAGGATGAAACATTATGTTGAAAAACTTTACAGAACATTCTTTTTTTTGACACCAGGGATTGAACTCAGGACCTTGTGCTTGTGAGGCAGGTGCAGTGCGAATGAGCTAAATCACCAGCCCCAGAACACTTTTTGAATATTCAAGACAGAGTGACTGAAATACATGTCTGAAGTCTTTGATAAATACTATTTGTCCTATTTGTTATTTTCAGGCAATGCAGAAATTAGTATTCGGCCCTTTTGTGCCATTAAGATAGTGAATACATGACTCTAAATGCATTCAATCTGAAGTTTGTCTTAATATTGTTTTACCTGACCATTTGGAAATGACATGTATTCCAGAAACTGGCCAAACATGGTAGAAAAGGATACCAATATCCATTTGAGACATAAAGTGAGCAAGACCCAATCATCTGCTCTCAGCATATTCAAAATAAAATATATATGGTTCAACATTTTTCTTCCAAGATGAGATAAAAATCGGAAAATCTTTCCAAAGGCCCTGGTGGCTGGTTGTATATTTTCATCGTTCTGTGGTCAGGACACATTGCCGACTTCTTTAATGGCAACCCTGAGGGTCAGCGCCAGCAGAGGTTGATGGTGATACGTTTCTGGACAAGGGCAGACAGGGGTAGTTGTTGTGATGTATTGGGTTGGGAAAAAGGCCAAGAGGCGGCAGGATCTCAAACATAACCATCCCTGGGTTTGGAGACAACCTGATGACATTCACATAATTGTTATCATCTTTTATAACTTATATTTGGTAGTTAACTTCGCACCAGCTATGTCATGATGAATGTAGTCTATATACATTGTTTCCAGTCAGTCTCTAAAAAACTGGTGACATCACTGCTTTGAGAAGTAGAATCTGAAACTCAGAAGTTAAGCCACCAGCCCCGGGATGATTCAGAAGGGGCAAACTTGGTTGTGATCCTAGCTTCCCCAGTTTTAATCCTTACAAGATACATCTTCAACAACGTTGCAGTCAGGGGGAGCAAGTTACTATATGATGATTGCGCCAGCCAATATATGGCAGAGGAAAATATCCGTAGGCTTTACAGATAAGTGGCAAAGATTTGGAGACCAGGCAGGTAGGCAAAACCGAGGCAAGGCAACCAGGAAGCACCGCAGAAGTCTTGCCGTGTTTTGAGGTGCATTGGGCTACGTGTCTAGACAGGTGGAGTGTAGAAGAGGAGGGAAGGAGCAAAATTTGGATGTGCAAAGAACCCGAGGTTCAGACCAGTGATTGGGTGTCAGAGGTAGGCGAGGTGGGGGGATGCAGCTGTCCAGAGAGGAGGGGACTCACCAGCAAGCAGTGTGTGGTGCTTGATGAGAACAAGGGTGGGTGCAGAGGTGGGGTGAAGCCCCAGAGCTAGGCCAGCACCAGGCTCCAACCCTGAAGAGTCTCGCTGACCGTGGTGGGGTGGCTTTTTTGGTTTAACTCTGAGCCCATTTGTCAGCAGGAAATATCCCGTGTTTCACCCATGAGCACCTCCGTGTTTGTTGATGGCAGTGACTGGACAATTTCCAGAGGCATTTCTCAGAACTGTAGTAATTCTCCTCCAGTGTGTACGCAGAATGTCCTAGGAGGCTTTGTTCTCGATTAACTGCTGATTGTCCTGATAAGTTTTCAGTGTGAGTTAATGAGCATGTATTTGTGAAGGGACATTTTTATAAGTCTGGTTTTCATTTCCTTGACCTTAGGTTAGGGCACGTTTGATGTTGTTATCTGAAAAGCATTAGTTAATTTGACAGGCAGGAGTGGATGAATTGGTGCAGTTAGGTCAGCTTTGCTTCAACATGAGGAAGTGCCACGACCACTCCAGTAGAGTCTGTGTGACAATGCCGGTCACCTGGCAGAAACCAGACCAGAGGTATCGTCCCCACGGGGTTAAGCCTCCTGGAAGTCCTTGGCACACACCGCATGCAAAGTCAGCCGTGAAGAGAATAGCTGGCCTCTCTGCCTGCAGTTTGGGGACATTGGGTTCATCTATAATTCTGTTCTATTTTGTCTTTATTACTATTTGTTCATTATCTGTAGAATTGTATTCTGGGCCCAGGAAAGGTTAGGAACAATTAGATGTTCCTAGAGATGTGGAGGTATTGAGGCACAAGAGGACGGGCGGCCAAAGTGCTGACCCTGAGCCCCGGACTGTGAAGTCCTGAAGGTGAACCTGAAGGTGACATGCTAAAGCCAGTCCTTTGTCTTACAAACTTCCCCTTCTGACTGCATATAGGTGTGGTCTTACCTTGACTTAATGGTCTTAGCTTTTGTGATGGTATATAGGTGTGGTCTTACCTTGACCTTGTGGTCTTAATTTTTACAATACTATTGTCTATCTTATGCCTGCCTGTGCCTGAAATCACTCTTGAGGTGTGCCCTTGAAACTAGTATATAAACACCTGGAGTTAGAAATAAAATTGCAGCAGCATTGGCAAACTTCACCTCGGTGTTGAGTGCTTTTGTCTGACTGTCATCGCCGAACCTGCTCCCACCTTTCAGAGAACCTGTATCTCCTCGTGAAATCCCGTGTTAGCTGCCCTACGGTCGGTAGCAAGGAAGAGCTCAGTAAAGATGGAGAGAGTGAGCTTTCCTAAAATTTGCATACATGTTTGTTTTAGCAACAGGTTGCACTAGTCAACTAAAATTAGAAAAAAATTTAAAAGAAAAAATAAAGATAAAAAATGTAAAGGATCTGTTTACATGCATTTTCACAGGGGCTACTGGGTGTATAGATGTGGAAGAGGGGCTATTATGGAACAATTAACAAGAAAAGTGGAGGTCAAGTTCCATTTCTAGTTGCCAAGAGGGTCTCTGGAGAATAGTTACGGTTCCATCCCATTGAATCCAGATCAAATTTCACTTTGCCAAGAGGTGCTTCCTGTTAATTTCATGCTTTTGGTTTTCACAAGTGGCTTTGTTGTATGTACTTAGATGAATTGGATCTCTCTCTCTCTCTGAATTTTCTAATTCTGAATGCACGTCAGTTAAAAATTAAGTTGTTAGGACCTACTCAGTTTATTGAATTACAATTATAGGCAAGCGTCTTTAATTAGTTCATTATTTCTATGAAGCAAACCTAGTATTTATAAACACATTGGTTTGACTCTGTTAATGCTTCTATGTCATAATTATGGTCCTTTATGCATTCATAGTAGGACAAGATCAGTAGAGGGGTGATAGCTTTGACTTTTCTGTGCCTATCAGATAGAAACAATGATGGCTAGTCAATGTTTTGGTCACCAAATTAGCATACCTTGAGATAGGAAATGCCTAATTGTAGTAGATCAGAGTAAAATGATCCAGGGTAGAAACACATAAGGAAAATAAGGCTTTAGAAATGGCAGAATTAACTGGATTCTTTTATTCTGTAGAGAATCACCTCTCAGCTGAGACTTGAAAGTCTATTAATTGGAAGCAAGAGGTAGCTTCTTTGTGTTCTGGTCTTACTGTCTCTGATAGCTGATGGCCTAGTGAATGTGGTTTTCAACTCTAGGAATCCCGGCAATCAGGCTCAACAGCAATGAATATGTTCCTTATGGAGGAATAACTTTTTCCTGTGTTTTCTAGAAGAGCTGCACCATGAAAAATTAAGTATGCCAGAAGAAATGGACAGGAAAACCTTCCTTCAAGGAATGACTTCTTGGAATGAAGGTGGTTTCCTTTCAAGGGGCTTTGAGAAAAGGTAAAAATTTATTAAAGACTCCAGTAGAGGATAAGTTGTTTTCTGGCACGCACGCTTGTGTGTGTGTGTGTGTGTGTGTGTGTGTGTGCATGCGTGTACACTCACATGCACATGCCCATGCATGTATGTGCAAGTATCGTGGAGGGGGTTGTTTTCTCTGTCGCGCGCGTGTGTGTGTGTGTGTGTGTGTGTGTGTGTGTGCATGCGTGTACACTCACATGCACATGCCCATGCATGTATGTGCAAGTGTTTATGGACACATGTTTCTTGGAAGCCCCCTGGGATACTTTGTACAAAAATAGAAGAATTGCATGTTTCTAGATTTTTATAGAGATATCACACTTGATCTAAGATACTAATAAAAACAAAGCTAATGATAAATTTTTCTAGAGAGATTCTTTATTGAGGTAAAAAAAATCCAGTCTGTCAGTAAGGCATAAGTTTTCACAAAAGAACACATTTCTCCATTCAACAGTGATGACTGAATCTGGCTTTGCCCCCACCCAGAACATAAGCAGAGAAAAAAATAAGAGTTAGGAATGATGAAGATGAAAAAATATCATTGCTCTCTATCCACATCCAGCAAGAAATTAGCATTGTCCTTCATGAAGAAACTGAATCTTTCCATTACTTTTCCTAAGGAAAGAAATAGTTAACAAGGTTAATTTATATGAGACAAAATACGTATGATATTACAGCTGAAACATATAGAGATTATGAGGTAGGGTTTCCTCTTACAGATAAGAAAACTAGGTTCCAGAAAAGTCTTGCTTTTCCTTTGCGGAGCTTCTGCCTAAGGCAAGAGCAGGATTTCTGCAGCCATGTGATAATTCCACTCCATCTGCTCCCTTCACCAATCCCAGGGCCCACTTATCCTTGATGTCTTAAAACAACACAACACAGACAAGAATTTTGACAAGGAAAGTGGAGGTGGCCTGTCCCTCAGCTTTTCCTGGCCAGTGAGGCCTGTGAGGAAGCTGCATTGTGCATTACTGAAGGGGACTTCACCATATTTTCCTCTCAGAGTCCCTGGAATACAACTTTTTTTTTTTTTTTGCCGTGAGCCCAGTTGTGTCTCTGTGAGAGAATCTTCCCTTTTGTGAAATGAAACATCCTCAAAAGAAAAGAGATAGGTAAACACATCCTTTTGGGTGCTGGCCTAACTTGACATTCTAACTTCCTAGATAACCACAAAAATGAAAAATACAAGATCTAAAATAAGTAGCGAAAGGCTAGTGGCTTAGAAGAGTTATTAATGATATGAAGTAGTCTTGGTGTGAGGTAGCAATTGTATGTTTTTTACTCAAAAAGGAGACATCTGCCTGGCTACAGTTTTTCAAAAAACACTGTGCATGCCAAACAAAATACCTAAACAAAACCTGTCCATGGGATCCTGGTCCAAGTACAATCATTTTAGTTGCCTAGTTTTTCTCAAGGCAAAAGAATACTTAGATCCTTTAAGAAACTGAAGATAAAGATCTGAATATGTCTCAGAATCAAGCTGTATTTAAGATTGGTAAGTATATTAAATGTCATGTAGGATAGCAGTTTGCCTTTCTGTTATGATGTGGAATCCAGGACCTTATCTTTAGACAAGATATTTTGTGGAATTCCACTATTGAAAACAGGCAAAAACTGAACTTTCAGTAGGAGATCCTCTGGCGATTCCTGGCTTGCTCCTAACTGAACCTCTGGACTCCATGGACTTCCGTTTGAGAAATCACGGTCTTGCACAACTGACAAACAGAAATTGAAGGGTCTGGCCCAATTGTGATATGACCGTACGACGGTTTTCTATCCATGTTGGCTGTTCTGGGTGGGAGTAAGTACAGCTTATGGGGAGTTAAGTAGGCTGCAGGAAACAGGAGGGACTGTAGTGGACAGCTCTGGCCCCAGCCCTCTTTTTCTCCCCATGAAGTACTCACAAGCTCTCTGTACACAAGTGACATTCATTCCCATAGGTGATATAGTCAGAACCACAGACTGGCAGGTATGTGATGGGGCAAGGGATGGCCACCACTGGGTACTTCCTGTAAATGCTGCAGTCAACCTAGTCAAACACAAGAGATGTCTGCATTTCCTACCTGACCTCAAGCTAAGTTCCCCTTAGCTATAAGTTCTGGAAGTTCAAGTTCAGATGTCCTGATGTTGCTGAGACTACTTTTATGCAAAATGTTACATATGAGGACCAGACATACTGATTCTATTTAGTGATTTCTATGGCAAGCATTTAATTGAAGTCTGCATGAATTTAGTTTGCTTAATATTTAGAAGAATTGACTAGAAGAATGTCAACTACTAAGTCTTCTATTTAAAGATAGAGAAATTAAAGCTTAAAAAGAGATACAACTTGTATAAAGTCAATGATTATAAATGCTAGAGTTGGGAATTAAATCCAAAGCCTGTGGAACTGAATCAAGGCCTCTCTGCACAGTCTCTCATACACTGCCCCTCCCATAAAAACATAACATATCTCAACTGAAAATCAGCCCTCTTTTTTTAACTCTGGATTTAAGAGAAATTATTTGGTGGAGAGCATAGTTATTATATTTCTTCCATATTTCTTCACTTGCATTCTGGAGAGCGAAATATTTCAGTATCTATTTGACTACCCCTTTGATTAATTATACATGTAGAATTAATAAAGCATATATGTTTCAGAAGTATTTGTTAGCTAATAAACAGCCAATAGCAACTGACATTAAAATATTATTTGACATACTTACAGTTGTTAAAGCCATACTGTTGACTTCTGAAAGAGACAGATAAAATGCGAACAATCAAGCAAGGCATTGAGATCTCATTAATTAATGTATGTTTTATCCTCTAATTAAAGACCACCCATGTCCCCTGGCAATGAGTCTCACCATACTCTCAAACTCATGCAAAATCCTAGATATATAAGAGGAAGTTGAATGGCCCTTGTTTCAGGCAAGAGAATTGCCTGGATTTCCTCTCTTTATTGATTAAGAGGTGTTTTCTGGAGTTTACAGTGTCTTTGACAATGGTTGAGAGTCAGCAGCACTAAAGACTGCAGGCATCACTCCTAAGATCCTGAAATCCTCTCCCATGTAACTGATATAAGAGAAAGGAATAGAACATCTGTAAAGTGTCAGCAACTTGCTTTAATTTTATAGTTTTTTACTATATAAATATTTAATCATTGGCCACTGGTCTCTAGAGAATTGTGTTTTATTTTTATCCTCCTACGTTGATTTGAGAAGACATCTAAGTTTCTCTTCATGTTTGCACCTGAGCAGTGACATCTAATAACACCACTGCTTCAGGTGTCCTTATAAAATGAAGACACTCACCTGAACTGCTGCAGAAATGGCTCAGTGCACACAGCACAAGAAGACCCCAAAGGACCTTCATGGCAGAGATGGTTGTTGTGCAGAGGCTACTCTGAGGTTGTCACACAGCTGAATGAGCCATGCCCTAGGAAAGAGGTCATGTTTATATGGTGAGCCTTGGTTCCTCCACCTTTCCTGTGAGGTAAACCACAGTCAGTTTGGGCTGTGAACGGATCTCAATACTTGTGACACCCTGGGTGGTGTTGCACTCCTTGTGACTTAATTGCTACTGCCTCTCTGAGCAAGACTTTGATTATTCGAAGTGAGAAGTATTTTTCTGCCTGTCCTGAAGGTGAGAACTGTTTCTTAGAATTCGAAAGTTCATATAGAAGAGATTAAGTCTGAGCACTTTGGCCTAGTTGTGAAAAATTCAAATTTCCTTTATTTTATCAAAATGAAAGATATTAACTCAAATTGGACAGATAATAACAGGGTTTATGTTTTGATTCATGGGAAAATGTTTTATTTTCAAAGGAATGAACCTATGTAGCAAGCTGCTGAAAAGAACAGCAGCTTTAGCATTCAAGAAGCTTGTAGAAGAGGATTGATACACTGCCTTTCACATTTCTAGTTATGGGATCTTGCATAAGTCATTCATAAGCTGTGGGCCTTTGGCGATCAGGAGGGCTTGATGATACCATGGTAACATATAACCCTGTGATTTCAGTGACTGCAAACAATACAAACTCTATACAGCGGTCAGCTAATGTTGCGGCATTGCCTTCACTCTGGCTGCCAACTGGACAGAATTGTCTTTGTTTGGAACAGAGCTGCCAGATGAAGTGAAGATGGACTCCCGAGGATTTCCTTTGTTAGCAGTGAAATAAATATTCTAGCCCAGAAGGGACATGACTGCCATGTGACTGTCACATGGCCTCACTCAGCCAGAGAAGTCTCAGAGTAGTTTCAATTGACCTTATGTTTTCCTCTCAAAGCCAGAAGGGTAGAAATTGGAAGTTCCCACGTTCTTCATTTAATGACCTAAATGTTTAACAACTGTTGGGACTTATGAATGAGGCACACTATTCAGACTTACAACCCACCACTTGGACTTATGACCTGTCTTTTTCTTATACAGTTTTTTACATCTTGTTTCTAGAGCCTCAATATCTTTTTTTATACACTACACCTTGTTTAACAGTACTGTAATTTTTGCTGATTGTACTGTATAGTACAGTATTGTAGTTTTACGTTCTGTTATACATTACAGTACTTCACATAAGAGTTATGCAAATATAAATAAAGTTTTCAGGTTGGAGTTTCTTTGACCATTTATTCTAAATATTGTAACACACATTCTATACACAATTCATTTAATGACCGATTCATTTAATGACTCAGTTGTAGATACAGAACTTGGTAGTTAAATAGGTACAATGAGGAATGTCTGTAGTTGATAAACAACATAGATACCACCTATATCTTGTTTCTTCAGCCCTGTTCAGTGGAACTCACTGTTAGCCAAATCAGAGTTGTATAATTGGAGTTATTCACAAGAAATTTTGTTCTAAAGCTTAGTGTATTTAAATGTGTTATTTAAATATGTTACAAGTGACAGTAAACATCAGATTGTGAATTTGTAGCTGGCACAGCAGGGCATACTGTTTTTACAGTAACCTTTTTTTATATATGTTTAAAAAGTACACCCTAAAATAGTAAACATAAAGTATATAGTACAGTAAATACATAAATCAGTAACATAGTCATTATCAAGTATTATGTACTATACACAAGTGCTATATTTTTATATCCCTGGAAGTACAGTAGAATTATTTAAATGAGTAGCATTACAAACAGGTGAGCAATATATTGCACCATGACATTATGATGCACATAGCATTGCAAAACAATAGAAACGTTTAGCTTCATTATAATCACATGGGATGAACATTGTATATGTGGTATGTCATTGACTGAAACATTGTTATCAGGGCATGATTTTATATATATAAAATCACTTATGGATGTGCATGTGTGGATAATGTGTGTCTGTGTGAGCCAAGCTTATAATCAGATCTCAATATATAATGCGTAATGATATGGACTGTGATCTTCATGACAACTCACTGAAGAAGAAGTTTTTATTACTTTAATTTACCAATGAGTAAGTTGAGGCTCAGAGAGGATTTCGGTAATCCCAAGACCATGGTGCAATTAATGGAGGAGGCACGCAGAGTCCTGTCTTGGAAAAGAAGTGAAGATTCAATAAAGAAAGGTAATTGTAAGTTTTATTGTTTGCTATGAAAGTTTAAAGGCAACAGATACCAAGAAAAAGCCATTATGCCATTATGTTTCAAGGTGAAATGTATTTATTAGTCTGAAAATGCATCTTTACCAGAAAGAAGAACGTGATCACAAGATGATCAGTATGACATGGAAATACAGAAACAGAAATTATTTTTAGATGTTCAATTTTCAAAGAGAAGATAAGAATGAAAGGAGCTGAGGCTTCAGCAATATCTTGGATAGACAGATTCTGTCTTAAAGACAAAGGGAGCAAGAAGAAACGTAAGATACATTGAGAAGGTGGCTAATTAAAGTCACAGAGAAGGATCGGAAGTAAAATTCAGAGCACTTCATACTCTTAAGTGAAATAAGTAAGTCATATATGTGTAAATACCAAACAATTTCTCTGGTGTGAAAAACTAAAAGTGTAAAAAAAGGTCCAAATGGTATAATTGACAATGTGAAATAGGAAGAAAAGGGTTACAGGTGTAGGGGAAGTGGGAAGGGTAGGGGAAAGGAAATAAGGGCAAAGACAAAATATGAGAAAACAAAAAAGAATGGAAAAAATATTTTTGTAAATAGGAAAGGGAGGAGGGGTGAAGGGAGGGCAGGGGTGTGGGGAAAAATGAGAACCAAGACCTGGCATGTAAAGGTACAAGAGCCCAACAATGAATGTAACTGTACTGTATCCCTAAAATGTACCAATAAACTCAATGAGAAAAAAAATAAAATAAAATTCAGAGTGCTGACGAAATACCACTCCCTTTGACATACAAGACACATATGAGTATGTGAATATAGAGACCGATATTTTGAAAAGTAGGGAAGGAGAGATGAAGGTGTTGGTTGTAAGGAAGGTGTTGTTAAATGCTAGCATTCCTTTAAGAACTGGGCTGCTCTGATAGCTTCAGGATGGATGGATGGAAGGGACATGGTGTAGACACCAATGGTAACATGTCATATAATCAACAGTGGACGGAGAGATTGATGCTAGGCAAAGTCAGGACTAGATTTTATAAGGATTAAATAATACCACGCTGTGTATTTCTCTTAAGTCACATTAAGACATCCAATAAAAATTGACAGTGGTTTTGTGTACAGAAAATGAATACATCTGAGATTTAAGGGGACCATAAATACTTAGTCAGAAGGTAGCAAGGCTTGGAAGAGAATCAAGTGTATTCTAGAAAGTTCTGATTGATTTGCAAGGTGCAAACATTTACACGATTAGAATGTAGGCAAAACATAGACTGGGCAGGTGTTGAGAATATGAGCAATTGTTTATGAAGCTGCAGCTAGAAGGCAAAGTGACAGATTTAACTTTTTAGGGGTGGGGCTGAGTTAATGATTCTCAGGGTGTATCCAATACAAATAATGAAGGATAGGTGAAGACTAAGTTCTCTGGATTCAAAGGTGTGAGAAAATTGAGGTTCAAGGGGTCAGATGTGAGGCTGTTCGGGGTTTTAAGCACTTATTCATATACAGAGGAAATTTTCCAGCTGCATGCTAAGTTGCAAACTATGGAGGGTCTTTTAGGGATTAGAAACGAAGCCGATAAATATGAAAAGTGATCCACCCAACATTGAAGGGTGATGGACTTGTAAGAGAGGCTCACTATGACCATGGGTTTATCCTAGGGAAGGCAGGGTGAAATTAATGCAGAAGACCATAAAAATGAAGCAAAGACAGAAGTTTGAGAGTATTGGGAATTTCCCCTGGTAGACTTTGGGTGTCACGAAAGAGTATGATTCCTCACTGGAGGGCTAGGGAAGTGTGAGGGAGTTGGACTGGGGCAGGGTACCCATGGAGAGTTCCTGGCTGAGTTAGTTGGAGGGACAGAGGGAAGCCAGCCCTGTACCGGCCAATAATCCAGGTACAGAAATAGTAGGCTGTAGGATGGAATATCATAAAAATATGAACCATGTATGGTGTTAAGTACTTACTATGTGCTAGAACTATGCTACACCTGCTACATGTGTTATCTCATTTCAAACTTAAAACAGTCTTATGAGATAGGTATTCCCCTTGTTATTTAGCCAAAGCAGCAGAATCTTGGTGAGGCGGCCTAATTTAAGCTAAAGAGATGATGCTTTTTAACCATTCTGGTGTGTTGTCTTTGAATCTAAATCTAGGAAATAGATTTGCAAACACATTGGACAGGAAAATAATAGGAATAAAACTACCAGAACCAGATTCGGACAGCTGATACTTCAAATGTGCATTGGGAGAGCTGGGCTCTAGGGCAGTATGTTGGGTTTTCATGGGTGAAGAGCCTCTGGAAAGAGGGAGGGGTCCCAGTAGGGAGCAGGACGACAGGGAACCAGGAGACCAGGAACTGAGGGTTTCTTCCCTGTCCTCTGCACCATGTTTCTTTCTTTTTTTTCTTTCTTTTTTGTTTTTTTTTTTTTGGCACCAGGGATCAAACTTGGAACCTTGCACTTCCGAGGTAGGCGATGGAACCACTGAGCTAAATCCCGGCCCCCCTGCCCCATGAGCAGTGCTGTGACAGTCTCTTCTCCATCCTGAGCACCCTCTTTCCCCAAATCTAGTGAGATTAATGCTTCACTCTTCATATTTTTAAGTTAAAAATCCACCCTCAGAACACTAATATGCACAACAATAAATGAGACTGAGAAGTGAGGCTAAGTAGGGTAAAGAACTCTGCGAGTGTATTGTTTCCCCCTCCTAATCGTTGCACCAAAAGTGCCCCGTCCCCAGGGCTCCTTTCTTCTGACAAGCAGTAACCTTAAGGCCTCCTGAGGCAGCTTTTAAATGACAGTCTTGGATTTGGCCGGACTAATTGTAGTCTTGTTCTTCTCCCTTCCCTCCACTCACTCTAGTTCATTTTCCTTTCCTTTT